GTACCCACTTTTTTTTTTTTTTTTTAAGTATGTCTTTATTGATTTCAGAGAGAGGAAAGGAAAGAGAGAAACATCAATGATGAGTCATTGATTGGATGCCTCCTGCATGCCCCCTACTGGGGATGGAGCCTGCAACCCCTGACCCGGAATCAAACCAGGATTTCCTGGATCATAGGTCGATGCTCAATCGCTGAGCCATGCCAGCCGGCGGAACCCACCTTCTGATGGGAGAAACAGTGCAAATGTAAAGGATGGGAGAAAGGGTTGGCAGACATCTCTGCAGACAAACTAACAAAGCCACTGGAGGGAGCTGTTGAAGTCGGCTGGAGTTCCTGGAGGAGAGGAGTCATGGGAAGGAGAGATGTACTGACAGTGTTATTTTATTTTCTTATTTATGATGCTTTGACATCTGGGGAGCCTTGTTGGCTTGGGAGAGACTGCCCCTCCCAGGGCTAATTCCTAGAGACAGCAAACAATTTCTGAGACCACACCTTTCACATGCAAACCAACCAATCCAGAGCCCACACTCCCAAACACCTCCTTTATCTAACTCATGCACCGAGCTAGTATTTCTCTGCCTCAATCACCCCCGGGCCAGGTACTGGACAGCTAGAGACCACCCCTGTAGCCCAGAGCCCACTGAGATTATTCACACTATCCAATCCTAAGCACACTCACACTTGACTCTGCTGACTCACTCATTCCTTCCCACAAAAAACACCAGGGCTCTGGGCTGACCAGCCCTGGCACTTCCCCATGTGGTGCTGTGGTGTGGCTGCCCCTGCTCTTGGGTAAGTACTAAACTCTTCCTTCAAGCAGTTGTCTCTTTGTCTGTCACCTCACCCGATTAAAACAAATCCTGAGTACCTTTTAAGATAGAGGCCAGAAGGTTGGAAGGATCACCTACGTGAATGTTGAAGTCACTAAGAATTCCTGCAGACTGGTACTAGAGGGATGAAAATCACCAGCAGCTGAAACCACCAAGAATTAAGGGGGACTGGCCTGGCCTTGAAGATGAGAGCAGCCTGGAGGGTGGCGGGTTCCTATTCTGAGAACATGAGTGAAAGCTGGGAGCTTTTAAGGTGACGGGGAAGTGGTCTGGAAGTGGGCATAGGGATCCAGAGGGCACCCACCCTACCTCCAGGCCCAGGGCTACAGGAGCTGTGTGAAAATGAACATCTGTACTGGAGAGGCCCCCGGAAAACCCGGGGCCGGGATGCAAGAGGAGAGGAACGCTGAGAGAAAGGAGGTCAGGGCATGTGAGGCACCAGTCTGGTGGCAGGTGTGAGGGCAGGGCAGCCGTTTCCAGAACAGGGGATGGGTGGGTGATGGGGTCGGAATAAAGGCCGTGCAGGGCCAAATGGAGTCCCATTGTGGGAGACAGAGGCTGACCCGGGATAAAGACCACCCACTTCCCGTCCTCATTTGTTCCATGTCAGCAGCAGCCAACACACCTCTCGCCCTCCTTCCTGAAACACTACATTTGGCACTTTGGGATGCCCACAATCCTCCCCCTCCCCTGGGCACCCTGAACTCCTTGTTCAGGGATCCCCTCATCTGCACAGTCCTGACAGCGTGGTCAGCCAGACGCTCCCTCTGGGGTACCTGCAGGGCCCCCAGCCGCTCCCTCTCCTGACCTGGCCCAGCGGGACCCTGCCGGCCAGAAAGTCCCCTCTCCTTTCGCTGGAAGGCGACGTTAGGTTTCTCCGGTTTTCACCCCAAACTCCAGTGTCACCCGTGCCCTGACTTGCGTTACCACCTTTACACACAAGCTTGTAACAAATCTTTAGTTCTTCGTCTCCCCCAAACTCATGCACGGCAGTCCCAATGGGCATCTCAGACTGAGGGTCATGAATTTCTCCCACACCCCAAACACTTCTATCTAGACCGGTTTTCTCCATCAGAAACTGTCACCCCATTAACCCAGCTGTTCTGGAGAAGGTCCCCGCGCCCCCTCGACGCCCTCCTCCAGGCACCCCCTACTGAACCAGCAGCGGGCGCCCAGCCGCGCCT